AAGTGTATCAATTTCTTTGAAAATAAATTTGAGCTTCCAAGGTACTGATGTGATGTTTTTGGCCCAAGAGATGACCAATAGTGAGTCTCCTTCTATTTCTAAGTCTGTTGTTCCTATCTGCTCAGCCATCTTTAGACCTTGAAGTAGGGCTAGAGATTCAGCCTGTATTGAGTTACCATAACCTATTGGTCCTGAGTAGAGTGCCACCACCACATCCAGATGATTTCTAAACACACCCCCAATGCCTACCCTTCCAGGGTTGCCAAGAGAACACCCATCAAAGTTCAATTTTAGTTTGTTCAGTGCTGGTGGCTTCCATTCCATGCTTACAATAACTTTGGGTCCATCTGTTTGTACTACTTCAGTCCAATTTCTTAGTATCTCATTTGTGGAGTAGTTTCTGAATATCTCCATGGTCTTCACCCAATGTGCAGTTCTGATTTTTATGGCTTTAATAACTTCCTCCTTTGTTTTGCTTTTTCCTGAAAAGATTCTTAGGTTTCTTTCCTCCCATATAGTCCATACTATAGTTGCTCTCACTGCCTTCCATATGCACTTTCCCCTTTTCTTCTGTTGACACAGGAAAATGGGGCTGAATAGACTTACCACATCCTATGGGGGAGCCCATCTGCATCCAAAGAGAGAACAAACAACATTCCAAATACTAGAAGCAAAAGTGTAGGATAATAGTAAGTGAGTTAGAGTTTCACCACATCCCAAACAAAGGACACACACATGAGGAGAGAGGGAATTGTTTGGTCTCCTTTTCCATAGCACATCACAAGTGTTTACCTTCCATAGGAACACTTCCCAACAGAAAGCTTGTACTTTTGAAGGGATCGGTTTAGACCATATTTCTCTCACTGGGAAGTTTACCCCCATGGGATCAATATGAGTGAGCAAACCAAAGAAAGATGCACAGGAAAATAAACCATCAGAAGTTGGGGATCAMACTCTACAATCAGCTATAGATTGGTCCAAGTAGACCCTCTCAAGTGTTGTGTTACAGGCCCGCGAATAGGATCTCGTCACGGGTCGGTCCACGGGGAAAACCTCATGTTTTCCCTTGTTCCTCCCTTTTCTTGAGCAACCTATCTTGGCGCCTTAATGGTGATTTGTTCAAGAGATCACCAACTCTCCTCTACTCTGTCTTGACTGAGAATTTCGATGCCTCTATTGAATATCATTAGCTCCTTTAAATAGGAGATTACAAGAAGATAAAAATCCCACTTTTAGGAGGACTCCCTGCTGATCTATACTTCTGAATTTAGATA